CGCCGAAGAATCGACCTCGGATGCAAATCCAGCTTCTATTTGCAAAATATCACCTTTTGAAGAAGAAAATCAGAGAAATGAAGTTCTTATGTGGAAAAATGGGTTATGATCCCCAAAAATAGTGAAAAATACTTATATAGTACTTTTAGAATCTGTCACATTCATGCCGCGAATGGTTTATTCGCCTAGCAAACTTCCTTTTAGGCACCTGATGTGCCTCTGAATAGTTAAACCGCCCCTAGAAATATCTGAAGTTCGTTGTGCGAGCAATTCTTCGCACTACGAACTACCTCACTTACAAGTTCGCACAGAGAACTTAGGGTCCTTTAGCTACTAACTTGGGTATGAGATGGTTCGCTGGATCTTCGTTGATACTTTGCCATAGCGAACATTCACTACTTGTTCGCCCAACGAACTTGTTGCCCTTTTCTTACTGCCATCTTTCTGAGATGGTTCGCTGGGACTTCACCATGAGTTTGCTTCAGTGGCACTCCCCACTGGGCTTTTCACACAGAGACTATGCTGGAATTCTTCTATTTCTTTGGTTTCCTTGTCCAAATGCTTGTGTCTTATACTTTGATGATTTTATGCCTAATTCATGCACAATAACGCACAAATCAAAGCAACCAAAGGTATTTTCCACAATATTGAATAATAACATGATATCATGGAGTAAATCTAACAAAATAACACAAAAGAGTTGAGAAATGTCACTAAATAAGGATCAAATAAAAGCATGTTTGGAATTCAACAACATGTGTAATTTCCAAGTAAGAGTTTGGACCTTTGCTTTTAAAATTCTTTTTCTTTTTCTTGAATATCTAAATTAGTTGGTTATTAATGATTGTTGTTGATGTAGAGTTGAGAGATAGAGTTTAGGTCGAATTTATAGAGAATTGAGTGTTGAAAAACTGAGTTAGGGTGTACAATGTAGGGGCCGAGCTCTATTGCACAGAGCTTCAAAGGTTAAAGCTCTGTCAATGTGGAGTGAGATAGAGTGTGTGTGTGTGTGTGTGTGTGTGTGTGTGTGTGTGTGTGTGAGAGAGAGAGAGAGAGAGAGAGAGAGAGAGAGAGAGAGAGGAGAGGAGAGAGAGAGAGAGAGAGAGAGAGAGAGAGAGAGCGAGAGAGATGAGAGAGAGAGAGAGAGAGAGAGAGAGAGAGGAGAGAGAGAGAGAGAGAGATAGATAGATAGATAGATAGATAGATAGAGATAGATAGAGAGAGAGATAGAGAGAGAGAGAGAGAGAGAGAGAGAGAGAGAGAGAGAGAGAGAGAGAGAGAGAGAGAGAGAGAGAGAGAGAGAGAGAGAGAGGAGAGAGAGAGAGAGAGAGAGAGAGAGAGAGAGAGAGAGAGAGAGAGAGAGAGAGAGAGAGAGAGAGAGAGAGAGAGAGAGAGAGAGAGAGAGAGAGAGAGAGAGAGAGAGAGAGAGAGAGAGAGGGGAAAGAGAGAGATAGAGCTTTAGAGTGAGTTGGGGAGATTTTGGGGAGTGAAAACTGGCAGAATTTATTTAGGGTGAGTGAAGCTTAGGGATAAAGAAAAGGAATTAGGGTTTATATAGATGAAGGTAATGAGATTTTGAGGGAATGGCAATTACAAACAATTAGCAATAATTGATTTGTGGCCCTTAGATGATGAACCTGGGCAAGGGTTTATCAAGGCTGAAGGAACATTGATGAGAGTTAGTTGGAAATTGGTTTTGCTTAGTGAGAAATTTCAATGGATTATGTTATTTTTACATTGAATTTAGTGTAAAATTTGGACTAGAAATGTGTTAGTTTGACAGTTAGGTGGTTAGGATTTCAAAAGTTGGTTAGAGTGTTTTGGAGGGAAGTTGGAATTAAGGGTATTTAAAATCATTTCCCCTGCACACATGGCAGCTAACAACTGGTCAATAAGTTAATCATATGACAGTTAGAAGTTTGTTAGTAGGTTGGTTATAGTTAGTTAACAGTCTGTGTTGGTTACAATGTAAATGGTGGTTAAGGGTTTAAAGTTAACCTGTTAACTATTAGTTTATACAATTAACTAACTTGTATGACAATTGGGATTTGTAACGGACTTGGTCAATTAGGGTTTGTAACTGACTTGGTCAGTTAGTTGATCGTTGAAATTAGGTTAGGGCAGGCAGTTGCTGAAATTAGGTTAGGGCAGGCAGTTGCTGAAATTAGGGCAATGGTTTGAGTGATTGGCTATTGAAGTTTGTTTAATGGATCGTGATTTTGGATGACATTGTGTTATGTATGTATGTTGTGTGTTATTGGTTTAATTGTATGGGGTTTGTATGTATGCGTGGACTATCAAATATGAGGTATGTTATTATGGATGTGTTGTATTGGATTGATGTATGTTGGATATGATTTGAGTATGTTTCTTATAACTGCAATGTATAGGTGATGTATGTCAATTATCAATCCATGGATTTGTTTGTGTGATGCAAAGTTTTAATGATGCATAACTTTTGATTTATGGTATGTATAATGATGAAAATTGTCATGACAGTTAGGTTTTTGACTGAATGTGTGTGTGGTGTATAAGTGTTATGGCATGATTTGCATTATGCTTTGACTATCTATGCCATGTTGCATCACGTGAATGTATGATGAACTAATATACATTAAATGTGAATTAAATCAATGATGATTGCATGTATATTGGAACTTGCATTGCCCTTGGTTGAAATTAATTGTGGCCTATTATCATATATCTTTGGTATTGGTGTTGCAGGGTTGTTGTGAGGTTTCATGCAACATTGTAGCATAGCATGGTGATGCAAGGCTACAAAGAGTTTTAGCATGGCATGAACTTGGTGTAAAGTCATGGTTTGTGGCACAAGGTTGAACATAACAAGGCTTGGACATGGCATAATGCATCATGGTAAAGATTGGTGAAATGGATAATTTGATCACATGATTGCAAGGCTTGAAGATGTTTGAGGATAACTTAGAAATAGGTATAGGATTAAAGTTTTGACTTTGGCCAACTGTTTGACCAAAAGTCAACAATTAACCAAAGTCAATTGTAGGTCAAACATTGATTTTCTTTGTAATTTCCAGTTTTGATTCTTTTTGTAATGTACTTGAATGTTTATATGGGAACTTTTGACTTGTAATGAAACTTTTCCCTCCATTTTGGACAATTTGAATTTTGAATCTTTGAACTTTGAATCCAATTTGAATGCTTTAATTAGAAGATCAATAGCCCATCCATAGTTAGTATATAAAAACCTCATAAGACTTTATCAACAAAAAGTCAACCTTCCATGGTTGACCTTGTTTACCAAAAGTTAAGCTTGTGTGAATATCCTTAAATATGTATTCAAATGTATTCATACTCTGACTCAAATGATCTAAGAAAAAAGTCAAATCTTCAAAAGTTGACTTTGACAAAAAAGTTAAATGCATCACAATAACCTATTTCCCAAGCAATAACCCATGAACTTATTCCACAAATGCACACAACAAGAAACCCTAGTCCAAGCAACCTCTGGGATATCTTGTGCCATAAGTAACCAATAAACCATTTGATCTAGTTATCCACATTCAAGTATTAGGACACCCAATGGAAATATAAACAATAGGAATTATTTGAACCAATAATGTTACATGTAGATGCAAGTACAGATGAATGATCCTAAGAATGAATGATTGAAATAAATGCATGCAGATGAAACAAAAGCCATGAGTCAGATAAAATCGGTAGGGCAAGTTTCGGGATATGACACTTACATACCTATAGGGCACGAGTACGAGTGTTAACATTGATATCCAAGCGGGTATGGATTTGAATACTGAGATTTTTTCAACTGCGAAAATAGGGATGAATACTATAGTATCCTACCCAAACGTTGTCTATTGTCATCCCTACTCTCAAACCAAAAATTATAGGTTAAAGAATTGAAGTTAATAAAATATTATAAAAATAAAAATTTAAAATTGGAATTAAAGATTAAGTGATATGATAGTTTAAAGTTTATAAACATTTTATTTTACTACTTTAATAATATAAAATAAAAATATTTTTCCCAAACCCAAAAAATATATGTTAAAGAATTTAAGTAGATAAAATATTATAAAAATAAAAATTTAAAAAAAGAACTAAAGAGTTAAGTGATATGATAGTTTAAAGTTCATAAGCATTTTATTTTAATACTTTAATAATTTAAAATAATTTTTTAAACTTTACTATAAAACAATTTTCTTGATTTATATTAAAGTATTTATTTTTTTTATAATTTTTTAAACTTGAAATGTACAATAAGGGGATGTTTTCTATTTTTTATTTATGAATCTTTAGTTTTTACTTTTTATAAAAATATTATAAAAGTTAATAACACTAATATAACTATAAATTAATTATAATAATTCATTTATCATTAATCTATTTTAATTGTAAATTATTTTTACAACTTCTTTCATTAATTTCTCCCTTAAATAGTGAGCGAGTAAATTGATTGTTTATAAAGCTACCCATCTTCAAAAATTTAATTCTTACATAACTATAAATTAATTTCAATAATTCCTTTACATTTTTATTAGATTCATTGTTTATAAAACTTTTCATTTTTTAACTTTAATTCTTACATTTTATAATTATATTATATTTGATTTTCACTTTAATGATTACTAAAATTGTAACTAATTCCTTTTATATTTTAAAACAATCCATTAAACTTTAGTTGATGTATTTTTGAAGTAATATAAAATAAATTGTATTTGTCCCTTTCAAAGCATAATTAGAATAAACAATTTCACACATTACAAGTGAATTCTGATAAAGTAGGACATGAATCCAAACCCATGAGAGTAATAGAAACAGGAACCTAGTTAATTAAGCAAAGCAAAATGCCTTAACTCCTCACCACCATATACCATAGCCTAGTGAGGTATTGATTCACACCTCGACATCACCGTTAATCACACAACACATCTACCGAACGAAATTGCAAAAGCTTTGAAGGATCAAATATTAGTATACTACCAGTAATGATGATAAAGAAAAATCTATACTTTCAACCTTTCTTTCTGTGATATGAATGAAACTCTGACCAAGTGCGACAGTACATCAAATGTTATTCGTCTGCCTCGTTGAACCAAACTCTTCCGACGGTTGCCAGCAAAACTTAACAGCACCAAGACCGTGATCCATATCACCATGGTGGCACGGAGAGACACGATCGTCGCTGTCGCAACCGCCGTGGTGATAGCCACATAAAGAAAGATTGGCACCGTGAAATAATCAAACACATAATACAACACTGCCAATGCAACCAACAGCTTTGTGATTATGTTGGTTCTGGTCATACTTGGCAGAAGGCTCAAAGAAAAGTTGCTAAAAATAACAATGACAGAACAAATTGATGGCTATAAATTTATTGTTTTTCTTTATGAATCAAAGAAAAGTTGTATTATTGCATCAATCACGTGCATACGTGCATAACATGGGGTGTTGGGGTATTTAAAGAAAGTATTAGAAAATGGAATTAATTTTTGTGCGTGCCAAATTGGAATTATTAAAACCGCGTTATTTTGTTGGTAGTGATAATTTGAACAAAGAAAATACTAGGAAATGGGAGAAATTTCTAAATTGATTTTGTTTCCTATTGGAATTCATATTGCTAATAAATAAATACTAAGTATAATTATATTAGATCTTAGGATCAATTTAGGCCTGATATTTTTGTTATTTATTACTAGCAATAAATATTAAGAGAATAGGGAAAAATTTCGACATTTAATTTTATTTTCTCGGGACTAATTGATGTGTATAATTAAATTAAGATCAATTTAAATCATGTCTATGTATAGCATTTAATAAACACGGTAGGAAGAAAATCGGTTGCAAAAAGTGGAGATCAATTTATTCTATATCTGTTTATAACATTTAATAAATACGGTACAATGATAATCTATATATCTTAAATACAAATATGTTTAGGGTGTAGGGTTCCATCAATTATGCTTGTGTGAAGGTGGGAGGTTGGAGTTTTTATAGGGCAATTATTTGTCATTTGTTTTAATTGGTCGGAATAAGGAGGTAATGTTCATTAAATGAGTCATTTTAAGTCTGGGTGTGATGAAATTAAACGTGGATGGCATGTGCCTTGATGGTGTTGCTTTAGGGTGTGGAGGATTAGCTAGAGATGCGCTTGGTTGTTGGCTAGAAGACATTGCTAAGAAGTTGGACGTTGGTAGTAGTTATATGGTGGAGTGATACACTGTACTGCAGAATATTTATCACTCTTCGAGTGAGTGTCAACTCCTTAAGAATAAAGAAAGGGAAGCAGAAAGAAATTGAGAGAGAAAGAAGACGTTCTTATCATTTAGCATAACCGAAAATGGTTCAACCTTACAACATATATGCTCAACTTGGCATAACAACTTGCGTAAAAAAAGGAAAAGGAAATAACAGAATGTAATTAAGTGCAGCTGACATCACCAAAGAATTCCACTACTTGCACACATAATCCTTCATCCAACCGGGTTTCTTTGATTGCCTCTTTTCCACTATTGGACCCACTTCTACCTCCTCATTGTTAGGCCTTTCCTCAGCATGTATTGGGCTTGCTACTGGTGGGCTCGTATAATTTCTCTCTCCAACAAAACTCACCGTGTCCTCAAGGTGGAAATCCAGATAGCAAGCCTGAAAAGAGGCCACTTCCTCCTACGAAGCTTCGTCAGCGGGAGAGCCAATCCATTAGACTAGCAGCTGTGGACATGGCTTCCCATGAATCAGAATAGTGCAGTAGGCCAAAATTTCCGTAGGCTGTTCAACTGGTTGATTATCAAAGCTCTCTGGAGGTAAATCCTGATGCGGAGGGTTCTCCTGACCACGAAAAGGTTTAAGGGAAGCAATCTGGAATACTAGATGTATGTGACTTTCCGGAGGTAACTGTAGCTTGTATGCCACCGGACCAATGCGTTCAAGCATCGGATAAGGACCATAATACTTCTTAGAGAGCTTATGTTGACGATGGAGACGAACTGATGATTGGCGGTAAGGTCAAAGGCGAACTAGAACCCTATTGTAAGAGCAAGATTTGTCTCTACAGGATTATCTCTATGCTTTGATGATAACAATTAAGTATTTGTGAAAAAACCATTTTATGTTCTAATGTTTGTTATGTGTAGATCATGATAATTAAATATATAAGATCAAACAAACAACATCAACGTGTGCAACTAATACAATATGAGAGTTACTATGTGTGACGTATCATAAAGCGCTTATGGGAAAAGCTAGTTTGCTTATGCATCTGATCACGATCAGAGAGATCCAAGGACGCTGGATATTGCAGTTGCAATGCTCCTGTGGATCCTGCTTTGAGTAGTGCATCTGATTTGAAAGCAAACAAAGCATATTGAAGAATCAAGTATGCATTTGTATCTGGTCACGATCAGAAAGATCCAAGGATGCTAGATATTGCAGTTGCAATGCTCCTGTGGATTCTGTTCTGAGAAGTGCATCTGATCTGGAAACTAACAAGCGTCTCCAAAGAGTGAGTCCTCTGAAGATCTAAGTGCTGAAGACTCTGATGACTTGAAGTTCTGAAGGCTGAAGGCTCTGAAGACCAAGTGCAGAAAGACTCTGTAGACTTAAGGGTTCTGAAGATCAAGACTCTGAAGATATAATCCTCTGAAGATCTACGTGCTGAAGACTCTAATGACTTGAAGCTCTGAAGGCTGAAGGCTCTGAAGACCAAGTGCAGAAAGACTCTGAAGACTAAATTATGAAGTTGAAGATTATGTAGCTTCACCTAGATAAAGACGTGTTAATCAGATAAGCAGTTGCTATCAACTCTGATAAATAAGGTGCTGAAGTCAGACTCTGATGTTATTACACTATCATACCAAAGTAGTTTATGAATTACTCATCTGATACATCATCAGAAGAACCAAAGCCAGAAGTTGATCTTTCCAAGCTGATAAATGAAGATCACGTCATTTGTGGATAAGAGCTATCTCTAACAATGATATATTAACGTTACAAGAAAAGGACAAAGAAAGTTATTACACTATCATACCAAAGTAGTTTCTAAACTACTCATCTGATATATCAACGTACTTATTCTATCCGTTGGAAATGACCGTAGGAATATTGAAAGGACATCTCTACCCTCACAACGACTCTCTTGGATGCACTATAAAAGAAGAACATTTGATTCATTAAAATGTTAGCTAGTTAATGAGAAAGACAACATAGCTTATTTCAAAGCAAGCAGCTTGTTACAAAGCAATGATGCTGACGAGTGAAGTTAGCAACATAGTTGATTAACAAGAAAAGCTTTACGCTAAGAAGCCGTAGTGCTCAGAATAACATCTATCTAAATCAGATGAATATTAAAAATACTTTTTAAATGGTTTAATTGAAGAAGAAGTATATGTTCATGAACCTCCTGGATTTGAAAATGAAAAATTTCCAGAACATGTTTTAAAATTAAAGAAATCACTCTATGGCTTAAATCAAGCTCCTAGAGCTTGGTATGAAAGACTGAGTAATTTTCTTCTGGAAAATAATTTTATCAGAGGAAAGATTGATAACACTCTTTTTCATAAATCAATTAAGAAAGATATTTTAATCTGTCAGATTTATGTTGATGATATTTTTCCTTAGAACCAAATATTTCACTTGGAAAGGAGTTTGTTAAGTCTATGCAGGCAAAGGTTGAAATGAGCATGATGGAAGAGTTAAGACTCTTTCTGAGCATTCAAGTCAGTCAGACTCCAGAAGGAATCTACATATATCAGATGAAGAATGTGAAGGAGCTCCTGAAGAAGTTTAATCTGACTGGAAGAAAGCCAGCTAAAGACTCTCATGCATCCATCTAGCACTCAAAAGAAGAGAAGAATCTAAAAGAGCTAAGCTACAGAGGACTCTGAGAAAGCAAAGCTACAAAAGACTTTGAAAAAGCAACTCTACAGAAGACTCTGAGCGGTTGGTTGAAAGCAATGTTTCATAAGACTCTGAGCGCATTTATCTCAAAGGCTGCAACTGCAGAGGCTCTGAGAATCAGATTATGCATGGCTCTGAAACGTCAGCAACAAAGCTTACATCTAGATAACAAGGACATCTGAAGAACGAAGATCTGCTTTGATCTGAAGCATTCCTCTGGATGAACAGTTTACTGAAACATTCTCTAGAGCTAAGCTGCATAGATCTGAAGCTTACTCCGGAACTTCATTAGAGGATCTGATGCAAGGAAACATTTCCATATTTGTTCACTCAATAGATGCTGATCAAAATAAGTAGAATTGCAACTTCATAGTCTGAAGGATCTATTCTGAAAATCAATGAAATCTAGTATCTGAACCATATCAGTATCAAACCCTCTGAAGAAACACTTCTGGGCTTGATGTCATTGATTGAGCTATCATCTATTGATCTGATGCTGGTTGATAAAGAGCAAGATTTTCATTCAAATAGATGCTAGAAATACATCTTGGTTTGATGATAGTTTGGGATGATCAACTACGTCTATTCAAAAGAAAGGAAGCTGAAGAAGTCATTATGATTCAAAAGAAGAATGTAGCAGAAAGAAGATTAATCTGTCAGAGAGTAGCCAGCTAAGACTCATGCATTCAACGTACATTCTGGGAAAAAGAAAAGGTTTTGTGATGCTGATTGTGCTAAAGACAAAGTTGATTGCAAAAGTATCTCTAGATAGCATTTTCTACTACAGAAGAAAAATATGCTGCTGCTGCTAGTTATAGATTCAAATGCTCTGGATGAAGAGTCGGCTGAAGGACTATCATATGCATAAGACTGAAGAATCAGTACGCATATTACCTTCAAAATGATATTATATGCTCTTATAAAGACTTGAGAAAATTTGAAGTCGTAGACCATCTAAAGATTTGGATTATCTGGAGATCTGAATAAAAGATTCGATAAGAAGAAGTTCTATCAAATCAAACTCTGATACTTCTGAAGTATAGTGTTTGATGTTGAAGAAACAAGATAAAAGTAAGAATGGAAAACACTCAGATAAAAGATAACAACACTAAAGATCTCAGAATCTCAAAGGAATATGAGCTTTCTGAAAAGTGAAAGTTTTATCTCTGAAAGCTCCTCTCCTCATCTGCATCTACTCCGTTTTAAGAGAATATGGTTTCACCAATTACCATATCTTCTGTTGGTATCAACTCCTACACCTCTTTCAAGTGGTATCAGACGATGAAATTAGATGATGCAAATCCCTCTGAACCTGAAACATCATTTGATTCCTCTATTGATCCATCAGATGCAAAACCCCATCTTCCTTCTGAACCAGTTATTCACCTCTGAGTACTATTCACTCATCTGA